AAAAATTAGTAACTCATTGCTGTTTATATTTGAATATTTTAATTTTCTTGCAAGATATACAAACACACACACACACACACACACACACGTATTTTTTTTCTTCCTTTTTTAAACTGTCCCTTCACTTTATCAGGGGCTAAAATCCACTTATCCTCTAAATAAAACATCCCTAAAAAAAAATAAATAAATAAAATTTAAAAAAAAAAAAATCCCTAGCTGGACATGGTGGTGCAGGCCTGTAATGCCAGCACTTGGGAGGCTGAGGCAGGAGGATCCTTGCAAGTTCGAGGCCAGCCTGGGCTACAAAATGAGTTCAAGACAAGACTGAACACAATAGCGAGACCTTGTGTCAAAGAAAGACATAAAGAAGCCGGGTGTGGAGGGGCACGCCTGTAATCCTAGCACTCGGGAGGCTGAGGCAGGAGGATCACTGTGAGTTCGAGACCAGCCTGGCCTACAAAGTGAGCTCAAGGGCAGCCTGGACTGCATAGCAAGACCCTGTCTCAAAAGAACAAAATAAAAAAATAAAAAAAAAGACATGAAAGTAATTACTTAACTAAAAATCATCCCTCAGGGGAAGGGATGAAAGAATGAAAACGTGTTATGCTCACAGATCAATTTCCCATGATTAATGTAAGCATCTACTGCAAACGTGGACTAATAAAAGCTTTTTAATTTTTAAAAATAAATAAATTGTTCCTTGGATAGCAATCTGGTGTCCAGAAAGATCATGAGAAACTTTAGAAACAGTCTTTCTGAGGTTAATCACACCACAGACCGTCACTGTCCGTACAGGTTACGTTAGGGTTTGTTATAACTGATGACTGCACCCTTTTCAACCAGAGAAGACACCACTTGCAGGCTCCTTTGTTACTGCAGGCTGAGCGTGTCGCAGTGGCACTTGAGAACAAAGCCTCCTATCCTACAGGGACAGCAAGCCCATTATTGTGCGGCACTGTGGCTGTCTGGTTCATGAGCCAGGCTGGTAAATTAAAAGGAGAGAGTATACCCAACCTGTATTGCATAATTACAGTTGTCGCTGCACAGAAGCAGAAATGAAACCAGACAGGCCTAAGGACCTCGCCTTTTGCTAATGCGGACGGCACCCAGCCTTGCCACGGGACAGATCGCAAGGGAGGTAGAGGCAGCTCTGTGGCAACCGGAAGCACCAGGAGCCCCCATGGCCGCCAGGCCCCCGTTCCGCTGACTTCACCGCAAGTTCAGTGTGTAGATTTTTTCCTTCCATTTCCTGTTCTTCTCAACTGTTGTTTTATTTTGGTATCAGGACTTGAACTCAGGACCTTGTGCTTGCCCGGCAGGTGCTGTGCTGCCCAACTGTTTTTTCATTAACTTCAGTTTTTACATTCGTTTGTTTGCAGTACTGGGACCAAACCCAGGGGTACTCGACCTAGGCATGATACCCCCAGTCTGCTCTACTGTGAGACAGTTTCAGTAACTCGCCCAGGCTGCCTTTCAAACTACGGAACTTGCAATCCCCCTACCTCACCTTCGAAATCTCGGGCATGTGACAGCACATCATGCCGGGTTCTCCTTCAATCAGAACTGCTATACTGTGTACCCTTAATCACCTCTCAGGAACTTTTTATGGTTTTGTTTTTTGGGACAGGGTCTCACTATGGAGCTCAGGCTGGCCTTGAACTATGTAGCCCAGGCTGGCCTCAAACGCAAATGATCTCCTGCCTCAGGCTCCTAAGCACTGGGACCACAGGGGTGCGCCACCACACCCAGCTTATTTTTTGTTTTAGGGGAGAAGGGAAACATCTTTTTTTTTCATTTGTGAAAACGACAGATTCCACAACAGACAGTGTGGTTGGCTCACACTCATAAAGGTAAAGCAGCCCCCGACGGAGAACTCCACAGGGACTCAGCTTGTGGGCCGCACTCAATTTCCCTGATTCAAAGAAAACCTAGGGTCACAGAATGTTGAAAACTGCCTGGGCAATTTCATGAGACCCTGGCTCAAAATAAAAGAAAAAAAATTTTTTTTTTTGGTTTCTGAAACAGGGTCTCACTATGTAACCCAGGTTGGCCTGGAACTCACGCCGAGCCTCCTGCCTCAGCCTCCTGAGTGCTGGGATTAGACGCATGTAAAAAATTTCCAAAAAGGCCTGGGAATGTAGTGAAGTGTGAAAGTTCTGAGTTCAGTCCCCAGTACTGGGGAAAAGAAATACAATCTATGAGAAGGGAAAACTTAATGTTTCTACTATTATAGGGGCTGGGGATTTAGCTCAGAGGCACAGCACCTGCCTGGCAAGCGCAAGGTTGTGAGTTCGTTTCCTGGTACCGGAAAAAAAAAAAAAAATACTATTCTACTACAGATATGACCAATCAGTGACCAAAGGTAGTCTAGGCTGCAGCACCTCTGGCTGTAACCACCATAATTCCTCTGCAACCTGAGGGGTGAGGGACCAAAGCCTTGGAGTGCTACAGGTGACAGGCTGTTGGAACAGATCTTTTATTCATCTATTTAAGATGTAAGAGAGCACATTCAAAGGTATAGCAAAGCCATGAGCAAAAATACAGAACACTCAGGGAGCTACCTACCTGAATTTGATGACTCTTTTGTATTCCTGTCCCATCTTGTAATACTTCAAATGCACAAAACATTTGTTAATGATGTCCCATTATTCATAACACACAATGAAAGAAAAAAAAATTTTTTTCTTTGGTACCAGGAATCAAACTCAGGACCTTATGCTTGCCAGGCAGGCGCTTGTGCCACAGACTTATACCCCCGGCCCTGAAAGAAAAACTAAGTATTCCAGGTTTGACTTTTCAGATCTGACCTAATGACTGCACTTCCTTCCTGTGAGAACTAAGCCGGTCCCTCTTCTACATTCCAAAGGAAACATCAACACTCACACTCTGCATGAGCTCATGGTGCCTGAAGTCTTTGGTTTAAACCCCAAATCACCTTCCCTAAAGAGTCTGCCAATTCCAAAGGCAGACTGCTGAGTCTACAGACCGCAGCACACCCTGTCCTCCTCCCAGCAGAGGCAGGTCCACCTACCTACCCTGCAGTGTCAAATCCCACCTCCTTTCTCTCTCTCCCTCAGCTTCCCCGAGAGTGAAGGGAAAGTAACACGCTGTGTTCTGGAGTCGAAGCAGGGAAGCTACCAGGAAACACCAGAGATAAAGGCCAATCACAGCGATGCTGTAAGGGACCCAGAGTACAAAGAGGTTCTGAGGGAGACCCTAAACACAGCATATTAGTAAACCGAAGAATACACTGTTGGGTGCCAGCAAATTAAAGCTCACCATGGAATTTAAAGTCCTGCCCAGTCAGATCAGCTCCTCCTATGCAGACACTGCGCCCACAGTCAACAAACTGGTTTAGGGAGGGCCAGCTTTCTTCCCAGGGGTTCCAATCCCCCATGGGAAAAGGCTTTGACTGGGTAAATGCTCCTGAATGAGATACTGTAGTCAAGGGTTTCTAACAATGACCAGTGCCAGGAAGTTGGTACTTCTGGAAGAAGCATTACCAAAAACAGGCAACGATGGTGGTGCACATCTGTGATCTCAGCACTCAGGAGGCCGAGGCAGGAGGATCGCCAAGAGTTTGAGGCTAGCCTGAACAACAGAGCAAGACCCTGCCTCAAACAACAACAAGAAAGTTTGCTAAGGACTCTGAAAGCAAGGCTGCCAGAGACTGCTGCGACACCTTTAACTTGGGGCTCATTCAAACAGGGAGGGGACTGGCTTAATAACTGAACCATGTCTTCCAGTCACTGAACCTGGAATTATTTGTTCCAGTTCACTGAAAGTTTTTTCAGACAAAGGACAATGTTTTCATTTTAAAACCAAGAACTTTAAAAAAAAAAAAAAGGCCACCTGTTTGGGCTTTTGTTTCTTGTTTTTGTTTTTCTTCTGGTACCAGGAATCGAACTCAGGACCGTGCGCTTGCCAGGCAGGTGCTTTTGGTTTTTGTTTCTTTAGACAGTCTGGCTATGTAGTTCAGGTGGGCTTTGAACCCGCTATGTACCCCAGGCTGGCCTCAAACTCACAGCAATTATCTTCCCCTGGGATTCCAAGTGCTGGGATTCCAAGTGTGTGCCACCATACCTGGCAAGAAAGCCGTTTTTACCAAAGACAGTATTAAAAATTGCACACTTTGTAGTTTCGGGCTTTTCCAGATTAGTCTTAATCTCAGTCAGCTGCAGAAGCCCCTTGCCTGTCAGCTCCTTTGGCATTGGATCAACAGTATTTCCAGGTCATTAATAAGACACCAGCTATGCTTGGTAGGTTACACAAAGCCCTAAGTCCACAGGAGGCGATGGCGACCCGGGGGACGAGCAGCAGACCCGTCTTCCTGAGTGTGACACACTCAGACACTTCAGAGTTCTCTGTAGCGCCAGGCGTCCAGCTCCGGAAACTCACACCATCGGACACCCTCGATTTCGCTCCCCACAAACCGTGCCCCGGGGGGCCTCCTCTCTAATTCCCTCGGAACAGGGAGCAGCGACGGCGCACCTGGCTTTGGGGACGGGTCAAATCCCCCAGGCGCTGTTTCCTAACTGTCCTTCGAACACGTCCCCTGCTCCAAACGCGCAGTTCTGCAGGCTCACGCCGGCGCCGGCGCGGACGCGGAGGACGCTAATCCGCGCGAACGGACCCAGCCCGTTTTCTCAGCACACCGCCGGCGCCCGGGACAGCCCGCGAGCCTCTCGCCCACCGTCACCGCGGAGCCCTCGGGGCAGCCACCAGCCCACCGGGGCAGGGGACGAGGGAGCCGACGGCCGCCAGGGGGAACGGCTCCCCGGCGCACGAGGCGGCC